CTTTCCCTCCGAGCCGGGCAGTCTGATTTGGCCCTCGTTTATCTGCCACTTCCAAAATGCTCAGCTTTACAATTAATTTCACGCTTGCTGCTGGTTATCATTGGCGATGCTGTGAGCGGTTTTCCTGGCCAGCTCTTCTGTGGTTCTACAGGAATATACCGTCACCAGCAGCAACAGCACCTTTAACTGTTTTAGTAGGTGGAAGGGAAATCATAAATTAGTTTAGGCTGTGGCAATATGATTTGTAACACCGGAGGAAGCTTAACCTTGTGCTCGTCTTTTCCAGGCATGCTCTGTGTGAAGAATTCAGAGCGTGGCTTTCTGCTGTGACCCAGATTGAGCTGGAGCCAACTATCGACATCTCCTGTGCTAAATATGAATATACTGGTCAGTCTACAAGCGATCCTTTCCCCAAAGCTTCTGCGGGTGTAGAGGAAACTAGAGAAAGGCTAACTCCATACCCCACCACAGCCCCTTTCTAGTTCCAGAGGGTCCTAGAAGCTAGCAGCAGCAACTCAAAGTCTCGGAAAATGAAGTACAAATTATGGAAAAACTGTTGCTGTAGTTCTACCGCTGGTGGCTTTAACAGGGCCCAGCGCTGTTGCAATCCCCGCACCCTTTCGGAGATGTGCAGCCCATGTTTGCACGCCTGCTTCTGTGCAACAGGGTGACGTGTTCAGCTTCCAGATGCTACAGTTGAGTTTGTGGAGTCTGATACTGAAACGTCACCTTGGTGAGTTCAGGTTCCAACTGTACCTACCCTTTCAGTCATGAAAAATCACTGTAGGAAGGGGAAAAACTTTGCTGCTGTCCACTCTGCTTTTTTAAAAGCTTTTCTGTTCTCAGGGCTCCCCCTTCCCCCTATTCCAGCAACAAACCTACTCAAAGGGCAGTTCTGTAAGTAAAAGAGCTTGAGTCATTATTTAAGTTGGGCAGATGACACCAAACTGGTGGTAGTGTTGATCTGTGCGAGGGGAGGAGGGCTCTGCAGAGGGACCCAGTCAGGCTGGATCGATGGGCCGGGGCCAACTGTATGAGGTTCAGTAAGGCCAAGTGCCGGGTTCTGCACTTTGGTTACAACAACCCCATGCAACACTACAGGCTTGGCGAAGAGTGTCTGGAAAGCTGCCTGGTAGAAAAAGACCTGGGGGTACTGGTTGACAGCCAGCTGAATATGAACCAGCAGTGTGCCCAGGTGGCCAAGAAGCCCAATGGCATCCTGGCTTGTACCAGGAATAGTGTGGCCAGCAGGAGTAGGGAAGTGATCGTGCCCCTGTACTCGGTGCTGGTGAGACCGCACCTTGAATACTGTGTTCAGTTTTGGGCCCCTCACTACAAGAAAGACATTGCATTGCTGGAGCATGTCCATAGGAGAGCAACCAAGCTGGTGAGGGGTCTGGAGCA